TTGCAGCCAGGTTGGCACAATGAACTCTAACGATCTCAGAGGTTAAAGGGAAAGTATGATGCACAGGTGGGAGCAGTAGATGCGAGAGGAGGTGATTGATGGTGGAAGACAATCAATGAATCATTGAAAGAAAGATGGCGGACACTGCAGTTGCCGTCCAGTCTTCCGAGACCCTGTCTGCCAACACCGTGTGAATGGCCTCCCCAAACCGCAACCCAGCCGCAGCCGGTGTCGTAGCCGCCGAAAAGGTGCTGAGCCCAGCGGGCGCAGCCCGGGGTTCCGTGGGCAAGAGGCTACAACAGGAGCTGATGACCCTCATGATGTCTGGCGACACAGGAATCTCTGCCTTCGCGGAATCGGACAACCTTTTCAGGTGGATAGGGACCATCCATGGAGCAGCTGGTACAGTCTATGAAGACCTGAGGTATAAGCTCTCCCTGGAGTCCCCCAGTGGCTACCCTGACAATGGACCACAGTGAAGTTCCTCACCCCCTGCTACCACCCCAACGTGGACACTCAGGGTAACCTCTGCCTGGACATCCTGAAGGACAAGTGGTCTGCCCTGTATGACGCCAGGACGAGTCTCCTCTCCATCCAGAGCCTGCTGGGAGAGCCCAACCACAGCCCTTTGAACACACATGCTGCCGGACTCTGGGAAAACCCCACAGCCTTTAAGCAATACCTGCAGGAAACCTACTCAAAGCAAGTCTCCAGCCAAGAGCCCTGACCCTCCCTGTCCTTGTGTTGTGTTGTCTTCTCTTCCTAGATGTCTGTCCTCCCCCCCTCCCCCCTTGATTTCTGTGTAGAACTCTGATCTTAAGCTGTGGTGTCATTTCTGTTTTGTTTGTTTTTTAACTTAAGTCTCCATTTGCACCCTTGTGATGATTATATTAAAGAACATTTGGGGTTGGTTTGGGGAAGAAAAAAAAAGAAAGATGGCAAAGGACACAGGCGTGAGCAGTGGTGAGGAAGGAGATGAGTTAAGAGGGACACAGTAGGCCAGTGTCAAGAGAAGACCTGGGAAGCTGAGCCAGTCAGGGGGCTTTGGTGAGGACAGACTAAGGACTGATGGGAGAGGAAAGGAGAGGAGAAAGGTGGGTAAGCGTTAGAGAAGAGGTGAGAGGGACAGGTGGGGAGGGGAGTGGGGACAGGCAGGGAGATGATAAGTCGGTTGCAGAAGAAGTGCGGGGTCAAAGGAGCAGCAGAGCAGTGACAAGGATGCGTGACGGATCAGGGGAGATCAGAGAGAGCCAAGAGATGGCCAAGGTGACCCACAACTCACCCTCAGCCTTGCTAGGTCCCAGGTGCTGGGGAAGATTTGGGAGCCGCAGCTCCATTTCTTGGACTTTCCTTGGAGAGCAGGGGCAGAGGCTAGTCCCCAGCAGAGAGACAGAGCTGGCACCTGGCTGGGGGGCAGAGGCTAGCCCCCAGCAGAGAGACAGAGCTGGCACTTGGCTGGGTGGGGGGCAGAGGCTAGCCCCCAGCAGAGAGACAGAGCTGGCACCTGGCTGGGCGACTGGGGGCTAGCCCGCAGCAGAAGCTGAGCGGTTAACCACCGCTGGAAGGTCAGAGGCTAGCCCACCACAGGAGGGATGGCAGAAGAGGTAGAGGTTGGCCCCCAAGAGGAAGGAGGGTGAAAGGCGAAGTAGGGAGACCACAGGAAGTAGGGAAGGCTCACCAATGCACCCTTGGTCCTTTCGAAGGTGTCCAGACTCCCTGGGGACAGGGATTTGAGTCTGCCCATGTGGCTGCCTCTCCTGGTGGTGGACAGTTTGGTTACAGGGACAGGGCTTGCTCCTGCCAAGCCAAGCACCATGGTCACCAACATAAGGACCCTTGTTGCAACCATGGCCAAATAAATCATTTCTGCCTCCCTGGCTGTGTGACTCTGCTTTTTAGCTGGGCTGGATGGGCACTCCTGGCTGACGTGTGTAAACAGAAAGCCAAAAGGCAATTGGAATCTCAGTGAAGACTGCAAAGGCATGAATGGGCGAGGCCAGATGCTTGTAGGTAGGGGTGGGGCCAGGTGAGCCCCAGCCAGAGCCTCGCAGAGAAGACAGAGAATCTGGAATGAAATCCCAGCCCATTCACTGACCTGGAGTTGATTCATTCATTCTCCCCATGAGCTTCCGAGACTGCAAATCTTTACAGAAAAGGAAAGTTTCATTTTCCTCCCATCAGTCCCAACAGGTAGCCTTGAGCTAGGCCAGTGGTTCTCAACCTGTGGGTCGC